CTAGAGATTGCCATAATCTACTATTAAACAGGAGGGACAAGAGAGGCCTTTACTGGGTGGTACCTTCCTCATTAGCTGCAGCTAGAACATGTGCACCATTTATCTGAAATATTATTCTTGAATGATAATAACTTTTGTAGCATGTCAATTTCAATGACATATTTACTTGTCAGAGCACCTCTCCCCATGCCATCAGATCATCACAGGCTATGGTCCTTCCAATAGCCACACTGAAGGAGGCCAGAAATTTTTTGACAAGAAGCCAGAACTTCTCGGTGGTGGCACCAATTAATTAGAACCACCTCCCAATGGAGCTGTGTCTGGCCTCTTCCCTTCCAAACTTCAAGAGGCTGCTGAAAACTCATCTCTTCTGGGAGACCTTTGGTGGCAGCCACTTTTGAACTTGCTTGCCCTGTATTGCTGCTCGGTTTCACTGGGCTTAATGCCTTGTCTATTTTAGTCTATTGTTGCTTGGTTTTTATTATGTTTGATATGCCATTATACGTTTTTGTTTGGTTTTTACATGTACACTGCCTGGAATAGAGCTGGACACTAATAGGGCAGTATATAAGTATACCAACCAACCAACCAACCAACCAACCACCCAACCAACCAACCAACCAACCAACCACCCAACCAACCAACCAACCAACCAACCACCCAACCAACCAACCAACCAACCAACCACCCAACCAACCAACCAACCAACCAACCACCCAACCAACCAACCAACCAACCAACCACCCAACCAACCAACCAACCAACCAACCACCCAACCAACCAACCAACCAACCAACCACCCAACCAACCAACCAACCAACCAACCACCCAACCAACCAACCAACCATTTTATTTTTGTTTTCTAGCACAGAGGAAATCACTTTATACACCCATGCTTATGCTAAAAGACTGTTACAGATGTTGGCATCTTTCTTTGATATGAACTGAGTCTTTTGCTTTTTACCATGGCCTTTGGCTGACAGCAGAGAAATTGAACTAATTAAACAGGGAATTAGCTAATGACAAGAATGAGGCATGTTTACACTACACGACTTCCAAAAAGAGACACACACACCCCTAAACCTTTTGCACATTCAAGCAATGACTCAAAGTGTTATAAGTACAGGCACTGGTCAATTGACAGCTGCTTAAAAATCCGGCTTTTAACATCTTTATTCAGGAAACAAATAATCCCTCAGGTAGGAGCACTGCAGATTTGGATTTAAAAACCTTGCCCACTAGATGTCACCATGATTCACTCAATGGTTTAAAAGGAAGTTTATCCTCTTGCACCAGAAAGCTTTCAGGGCTCTCCACCTTCCTTTCCCCTTGAGAATTTGAATGCTTTGAGCCATAAATGCTACAGGCTTGTGTGTCATCCTCTGTGATGAGGAAGAGCACAAAGGTATGGCTGTGAGGTGACAGACAAAATAGTCCAGTGGTTAGAATTGAGGAGACCCAGGTTCAAATTTCGCCTCTACCACAAAGCTTACCAAATTGTTTTCATTTTCTCTCAGCCCGGAATATTTCATGAGTGTTTTAACTTATAAAGATGCAATGACATTCACACTCTTTTGTCAGGAAATCAGCATGCTGGTTTGTTTCTGAGCCTTTAAGGCAGGGATAGGCAAGTTTGGAGGGGGAAGTCCAAAGGCTGTACACTGCCCATTTTCCATTCTATGGGTACCCCAGCTCCTAGCCATGTTTCAATAACTGGAAGATACTGAGCAGTCATTTCTGGGTTTTCAAAATTGTTGTCTTGGTTATTTTGGATAGAGGTTGTTGTTGTTTTTTACTTTGCATGAGGGAAATCAGAGAGACACAGGCGGCCATGGTTGCTGTTTGCCCACTTGCATCCTACGTGTAATTAGTTACATCTTGGTTGGACTACCGTGGTGAGATGACCCTGAAACCAGTGCAGAATGTTTTTGCTAGAATTTTGACTGAAGATACATTGTGGGATTATGGGTCCCCTTTACTGCCTCAGAAGGGGCGTGGTGCTGCTGCGGGTTGAACCGCAGAAGCCTCTGTGCTGCAAGGTCAGAAGACCAGCCGTCGTAAGATCGAATCCACGCAATGGAGTGAGCCCCCGTTGCTTCTCCCAGCTCCTGCCAACCTAGCAGTTCGAAAGCATGTAAAAATACAAGTAGATAAATAGGTACCACCATGGTGGGAAGGTAATGGCATTCTGTGTCTAGTCGCGCTGGCCACGTGACCATGGAAACTGTCTATGGATAAATGCTGGCTCTGCGGCTTGGAAACAGGGATGATCACCGCCCCCTAGAGTCGGACACAACTGGACTAAATGTCAAGGGGAACCACCTTACTTCCTCAGCTGCACCCCTTGCCAATTCAGTCTTGAGGACAGTTCAAGGTATTGGTTATTATAACTTAAATAGCTTAGGATTTGGCTTTAAAGGAGTATATTTTTGGTGCAAATCTGCCCATTTCAAAAGATCTCTTGCTGACCCCCTCTTATCTACTTGTTTTCAGAGGCATGACTGGTAGCAGTTTGTAACAGGGCTTTCTCACTGGCTGCGCCTCATATGTGGAACTCCCTACCTCAAGACCTAAGGTCATCATCTTCATCTGTATTCTAACACTACACAGAAAAATTCCTTTTTAAATAATCACTTGATTCTGATGTTGTTAATTCTACTTACTGAATGTTGGTTTTGCTTTACTAAGAGACTTTTAATTGCTTTTTGACTTATTAAAATGTTTTCAAGATTGGCTATTATTTTTATGTCTGTAAACTGCTTTGAATAGATATAGGTTCCCCTTGACAATTTTTGTCCAGTCGTGTCCGACTCTAGCGGGCGGTGCTCATCCCTGTTTCCAAGCCATAGAGCCAGCGTTTTGTCCGACGACAATCTTCCGTGGTCACATGGCCAGTGCGACTTAGACACAGAACGCTGTGACCTTCCCACCGAGGTGGTCCCTATTGATCTACTTGCATTTGCATGCTTTCGAATCGCTAGGTTGGCGGGAGCTGGGACAAGCGACGGGAGCTCACTCTGTCGCGTGGATTTGATCTTATGACTGCAGGTCTTCTGATCCTGCAGCACAGGCTTCTGCGGTTTAGCCCACAGCGCCACCACGTCCCTTTGAATAGATATATCTGAGCTCAAATCAAGCCTCAGCTATCTCTGGAGACTGTCCCAAGTTGGACACATCATGAAAAGGCAGGGCTCGCTGGAAAATACAATAATGTTGGGAAAGGTGGAAGGCAGCAGGAAAAGATGAAGACCAAATATGCAATGGACTGACTCCAAAATGAAGCCACAGGCTTGAGCTTACGGGAGCTGAACAGTGGAGGACAGGACATTTTGAAGATAATTCATTCATAGAGTCACCATACGTTGGGGGCTACTTGATGGAACATAATAACAAACTGCTTTGAGCAACCCATTTTGGGGAGGAAAAAAGCAGGTGATGTTAAAGCTAAGTAAATACATTTGCCCAAATCCTGTTGCAGTTATGCAAAACGTGTAACTTTTGGTCACAAATTTCTGTAGGCCAAGAACTCTCTATAGACATTTTTGGCTGAACATTGAGTTGCATGATGCATCATGCAATAGATAATGCCTACAAAGATTTCCTATGTCTGAAAGTTATATCATTTGCATAACTACACAACAAGAAATTTAGCCATTGTATAACTGGTAAGAATATCAAGATTAACAATGAAAACAGAAAACAGATTTACCAGACTATGGTTGCTTTCATCAAGGTCTGGCACAGTTATGGATAAAGTGTGGTGCTCCAGGTGTTACTGAACTGCAACTTCTGTCATACTTGCCACTGATAATTCTGATATAAGTTGCAAACTGACAACATCAAGAAAACCATAGGTTGCTCTTAGCTGCTGTGGAGGCTTCAGTAGGTTGTGCTTCTAGATCTATGCATCAATATGGCATTATGGGGCAACTTTTGGTTTGACCAGTAGAGGAGGGATAGCTTGCTTCCAGATTAACATGTCATTGACCACCAGTAATGGCATTCCAGCATCACTGCATCTCTCAGAAGATGTTCTACATCCCAAAATACACTTTGAAGCCGGGGCAACTCTTGGTTTGACCAGTAGAGGCGGGATAGCTTGTTTCCAGATTAACATGTCATTGACCACCAGTAATGGCATTCCAGCATCACTGCATCTCTCAGAAGATGTTCTACATCCCAAAATACACTTTGAAGCCCAGCTAAAGATCAGGAGAAAGTACACATCTTTCTGGCCCACTACAACCTTTCTGGAGAGCTATGGAATAATCTTACTCACCTCTTGGCCTCATACAAGACTCATTCTTTTTATTCTTAGAGTGGTCCTAGCTGCCTAGAGTGGTCCTGATCCGACCAGATAGGCGGGATATAAATGAAATAAATAAATAAATAAATGAATACCTCTTGGCCTCATACAAGACTCTTTCTTTTTATTCTTCCATGTCTGTGTAGTAAAACTTACATTAATTAGATTTTTTTGATGCTCTGGGTTTTTCATCCAACATCCACAAGGTTTAGACACGCATAGAAATAACAACAACAAAAAGTGCAGACCCAAGATGTTGTTGATGTTCTCTCCATGTCTGTGTAGTAAAACTCACATTAATCAGATTTTTTGGTGCTCTGGGTTTTTCATTCTACATCCACAAGGTTTAGACCCACATAGAAATAACAACAACAAAAACTGCAGACCCAAGATGTTGTTGATGTTCTCTACAAAAGCGGAGAACAGCTACAAGAGGAGAACAGCTCGATGACTCCTATAATCTTTTCATTTTCTCAGTGCCTCAAAACAAACCAGGAACCAGATAGCTGTGTTTCTTCATGAATCATTCCTCACCCCCTCCATTTTTGTTTGCTGATAGTCTTTGTTACACAGTTATCTATCAAGTTCTCTCTATCTGCCAAACCAACAAACGGAGACCAGCCGTATCAAATGTCCATGAATGACAAACATGTTGTGTGTCCATACATCATTGCGCTGATGTATTGATACTTACAGTGCTGGCGGTGAATTCGGGTGGGTTGTCGTTCACATCTGTCACCATAATGATGGCTGTTGCTGTGTTTGAGAGACCGTAGTTAAGATTTCCTTCCATATCTGTGGCCTGAACGATGACTGTGTATTGCTGAACTTTCTGGAAAAGAAAAGTAAAGAGACCTCGGAATGAGACATGAAATATTTCCTTTCCTTTTCTCCCTGCACCTTTAATAATACAACAAAGAACTCTCTTTCCATTCCAAGTCTGTTTTAGATATAAACTTTTGTTTGGTATTATAAAAAAAAACGATATGGGGGAGGGCATGACTTTTTACCTCACAATACACAATGCCTTTGTACGTGGTGGACTGTAACTCAGAAATAAAGAGCATCTGGCCTTAATAAACTACGATTTCCACCATGCCTCATCAATGATTAATCTTGCCACAGCCGATGGAAACTGAAGTTGATTCTCATCTGGAGGGCCACAGATTTCTCAATCTTACTCCAATAGAAACTTTTTTCCCCCAAAAAGAGATCAATTGCACATCACAACAACAGAAGAAACATATCACTGAACAAGAGAGATCACAGATCTGCATAAAATGTGCATATGCTAATTTATACATATGAATGCCAAGTTAAAAATAATTTCTAGAACGTAAATAGAGATACAGCACAGCTCACCACAATGTGGGAAGCTGTGATCAGGGGATCCATGTTTCCACCTAGTCTTCCGGCCAAGTCTTCCACCCATCATGTAGCTCTTGATGGGTACTTCTTGATGGGTACTTTTTACCCTAATTTTTTCTTTCCCCCTATTCCTACCGATTTAACCAATTTAACTTAGTTGGGTTCTGTATTACTATGTAATCATAATTCGTTTGGGTTGGTTTGTTTGACTTTCCCCTCCTAATGGAACCTTGCTCTGGGTGTTTTATGCCTTGCTCTGGAGGTTTTTACGCTGTAGGTCACCCACTTTCTCGACCTAATGGTCCTATGTAATGGACCTAACCGGGGGGGGGGGTTGTGCTGAGGGTCAGGTGAGAAGTCGTGGCTCTGCGGATGGACCTGTGGTGGAGGATCATGGTGGAGCTCCAGGAGGCTTGGGTTCACTCCCAGCCAGATCTGTCCGTAATACCCATTCTTCACAGGCAGGACAGTTGAGGGCCTTGTCCCCAAAGGAGGCCCGGAGGGAAAGAACAAGAAACCAGGCCTTTTCGGCAGTCACACCCTGCCTATGGAACAACCTCCACATGGAGATCTGCCTGGCATCCTCGCTGGATGGGTTCAAACGAGCACTGAAGACTTGGATCTTCCACCAGGCATTCCCTGAGCTTTAAGTTTTTGTGATCTTAGCCTCCCTTTTACCATCTTTTTTACCACCCTTTCATCATCTTTTTTACCACCTTCATAGCCATCTGTTTTAAGTTATCCCATTGGTTGTCGTATTCATTTGAATGTATGTTTTATTTTTATCGTGTTTTGATATTGTGTTTATCTTGTTGTTAGCCGCCTGGTTGCAAGATGGTGCGGGGTATGTATGTATGTATGTATGTATGTATGTATGTATGTATGTATGTATGTATGTATGTATGTATGTATGTATGTATGTATGTAGGT